GCACCGGCTGATTTACGTGTATTTCGTTGTAATTGTTCGATTTGTCTTAAAAAACAAAATCATCATTTTATAATACCAAAACGTCAATTTGTTTTATTAACTGGTGCTGATTATTTAACAAAATATACATTTAATACACATAAAGCTGAACATTCATTTTGTCGTCAATGTGGTGTACAAAGTTTTTATACGCCACGTAGTAATCCAGATTGTTATGGTGTTATGCCGCATTGTATTGATTCACCAACTATAAAATCTATTGAACACATTGATTTTGATGGTGAAAATTGGGAAAACTCCATGAATAAATGCGCTGAAACTGGAGATAAAAATCCATTTGATATTAAATAAAAAAGAAAAACATCTAAAGACTAGTGTCCGTTTTTTTTAGATATGACTCTTGCAGGAGTAGATGGCATTACCAAAGGTGAAGTCTCTCGAAAAGGTAATCGTGCACAATCAGAAGGAACAAAAGTTCAACGAGGTATGTTGTAATGTCTTTTATGAGAAAAATAATTTCATTTTATTATTAAAATATAGTATTCAACAATTCAGGTAGTCTTGTTTGATTTGCTATTAGCTTTTACAATATAATCTGTAGAAATACTATAATTTAAAAATAGATTTATCGTTTTAAATTAAATATATCGATCGTACATATTTTATTTGAAGGATTTACTGTTTGTGCTACGGGTGTTCCATCAATTCCAAGTCCTTATTTAACCATTATTACTAGTAACAATGAAAAGAAAGGTTTTCACCAAACTGCTAAACGTTTTCAATATGAGACAGTAAATTATACAAGATATCTTTTTTATGATCGTCGCTGTAATTATTATAGACTTTGGCACCTGGACCTGGACAATATGATACAGTTCGACCTATCGATAAACAATTAGAAAAAACGTCTGACTCGAAAAAAGGTTCAGGTGGATTTGCTTCCAAAGTTAGTTAATTCTTTTTTTCTTTTTTTTTATAATTTCATACATATTTTCTTATATATATCTAGAGTAGACGTGAAGGTTTCACGAGTGGTGCATTAAGTGCTCCAGCACCCACCGCTTATAATATTTCAAGTAAACTTGGTACTGGTCAGCATGATTTTAATCGAGCTAAATATTCCAGTATGTTTCAAAAGCCTATTGCTGAACGACCTTTATCATCAAAATCATCAATTCCAGGTCCAAATCAATATGATGTTCGTAATTAAATGATTTTTCTTTCAAATTTCATATTTTATTAATTATTATAGGTTTATAGAGGATTAAGAAGAACAGGAAAATCAAATAATGTTTCAGCACAAGCAGCTTTTCGATCACATACAAAACGATCTGTTCCAGTGAATAAACATTTCATAACACCTGCTCCTGGTTTGTATTATTATTTTATCCATATAGGAAACAAAAATTAAATTCATATTTAAGATACATATAATGTAAATGATGCTGCTACTCGAACATTAAGACCTATTCATCAATCAAGTTTTAAATCAACATCAAAACGTGATACATTTAGTTCTAAATCAACCACTGAAGTATTTTATTAAATTACATTGATTGATATTGTTTCATACTTTATTGTATAATTATTTTAGATACCAGGTCCAGCTGATTATCGACCATTTGAAAAATTAACCGAAGAACCTCAACGACAAATATTTCCGTATATTTTTTGAATTAAAAATTTTTGTTTCGATAAGAAAAATTTCTTTTATTTCAGACGTCATCCTTATTTAACTATTTCTGCTCCAGCTATTCCACCTCCACCTGATGCTCCATTTCCTGGTCCAGGAGCTTATGAAATTTGTGGTTTTAAAGAAGTTGAAAAGAAATATATGACATCTGCTGCATTTGTTTCCAATACAAGTCGATGGGCACTTGATACAATAGCAGCAGCTGAACAACCTGGTCCAGCTTCATATACACCACGCGCAGTACCAAAACAAACATTTAATTTTAATTTTGAACGAAAATGGATTTGATAATCTCTTCTGTGATCAAGAATTCTCATCGAATGATATAAACTCAGTTTTCTTTTCGAATAATATCAATTGTAATTATATTTTAGAATGACTTCTTTTTTAAAATATATTTTCAATCCATTTTACATACGAACAAACATATTTAAGTAATTTAAACCATTTCGATTTCATCTTTAACAATATGCACACCTCAAGATGACATAAAAGCTTTGAAATTTTATCAGTTATTCGAGAAAAATTGACTTGCTTACGAAATTCATTAACTTGTGGAAAATCAGAAAGAAAATAAATGTATATATAAAGATTCGGAATATTTTGCTCATAGATAAATCTTTTGAAAGCATTTCAAGTTAGTAAGTTCTACATTGTCTCTTTCACGTCTTTTAAAGATGGATATTATATAAATCATTTGAAAATTCCTCATTTTATGTTGAAAATAACATAACATATAGACTAAAGTGTTGAAATATTCTGGTTTTTTATTTTTTCATAAAATAAAATTCTTTTACACAATCTCCTCAATGTCATTCATTTCGTTCTGATTATAGATTTCAGCTAAACTCATTGAAGTTGATATATTCTTTGTACCAAAACCTAATTTTTCCGATAAAATTCTCGCATCATTAACATTTAATTTTTGAAAATTATAATGTGCTATTAATCTTCCTTTGCGTAAAAGAGCTTTATCTACAATAGTTAAATCACAATTAAATGTAGCTATTATTTGCATATGCATTGCATCACCCAATAAACCATCAGATAAATTCAATAGATTTGCAACAGCTTGTGTTGAATTAATAGTTGGTTCATTTCGATCACGAATTATATTTTCAGCATCTTCAATAATTAAAATTGAGTTTGGATGCTTTAATAAAAAGTTAAGAAATTCTGGTTTTGAAATATCTTTTGCTTTGTCTGGTGGAATATAGATTAATTTCTTTTTTTCAATTTCATCCATTAAATAACGAATATAATTAGTTTTACCTATATACACAACCGCCATAGAGAATATATTTTATATAAAAACAATATTTACTTACCACTACCAGGTATTCCATATAATAGAACAATACCTTTACCATCTTTTTTATTTAATTCTTTGAGAATTTTTTCATGAATTTTAATAAAACTTTGTCCATAATGTAATGCTAAATCTTGAATCAATGGTTTTCTTATATTAATAGGAGTGAAATAATATTCTGATGCTCTATTACGACATATCATTTGAAATTTTAATGTTTTCGTTTCAAAAACAGATCTTTTTAAAAATTCTTTCACCATATTTTCAACTTCTGTATCAAGATGACGAAGATGATAGATGGCAATGATTCGCGATACAATAAAATAATCATCCAAAAGATCAGGAGAATATTGATTTGGATTGTCAATATCGGATTTTATAGATATATTTTTTATAAAGATCATAATACCATTTCCAAGATCACAAAAACGAGAACTAATTATATACAAACAAGTTTAATCTTCTAGATCAAAATTGACTTTTTTAAAAACTTACGAAGTATAAAATTGTTTTGATTTTGTATGATATTGATTTACAGTTACATCGTTAATGGTATTATGTTGATATTCATTTTTCAAATAATTTAAAATTGTTGTTATATGAAATCGAGCATTTGATTCTACGTTTGTACAAGATAGCAAACATGGAAATGCATTATAACGACCAATAAATAATCGAATAGTTGGTATTTTATCTCGTGACCGAGATTGAACATAAAGTTGCTGAAGTGCAGCAGGTGGTAATTCAGGAAAATATGCAATATATTTATTACAAATCAATGATACCTCTTCATCCATTTTTGTAAAAGTACAACTAAGAAAATGCTTTGATTTATAAGAAGAGTTATTTCTAAATTTCAAAGCATGTTGAAAGAAAAACAAATGCACTATGTTGTGTAAGTACTGATTCATTAGCTAAAGGTAATTTTTTCTGACGCGATTATTGACTCATAATGATTCATCTGCATTTTTCATATTATAGGAAGAAAGAATATATCACAATAAATTATCTAACACAATTGATTCTTTGTATCTTGCATCTAATAGATTGAAACACATTGATAAATATTACTATTCAACAATGACTTAAAAAGATACTCATAAGATAATATACTTTACTTTTATCATCATCTGGTTCTATTCAGAATTGTTTATGGAAAACAAATTAAAATGAAGAACGAACTTTTAAGATCTATAATGAATATTCAATCATCCTTTCATCTTGAGGGTGGGTGTGGGTGTGAGTAAAGAGAAGAAAGGCACTAATACTCACATCCACACCCTAGACATCAGAATCTTATTATTATCGATGATGAAATCAATTAAGTTCCATACACCACAGTTATTCTTTATTGTAACTAGATTATCTTTCTGGTTTATCTTTATTTTCAACATTCTGGGTTAACAATATAAAAAAAAATTAAAAGCTGAATTAGTTTGATTAGCTAATATCGACAATAATTAATTGTCTGTCTCCATTTGTTCCATGAGTGTTATTTGACAATCGACAGATGCATTGGATGTAGTAGATGGTTTGCTTAGAATGTTGATTACCTTGTTGAAATAATCTTTCATATCGAGTGCATTGTTTGTTGCCTTGATTTTCTCTAAAAATTTGGTTAATAAGTGGTTGTGTTTTTGGAGTAGATCAACATGTTTATTGATTGCACGCATCTCCTCAACATGAATTGTTAGTTGTCCAAGTAATGAATTAAGTTCATGACGCAATGCTTCTTGCTTTTTCTCGAGATTTTCTAATTCATTGTCTAAAATGCACACTTGTTTGCGGGCACCGTCATGACGTGAAATAGCATCATTATCAGGTAGAGTGAGATGTATCTTAATTTCTTCTTTTTTGTAAATCGGTTTAGAATTCTTAGTTGAGAGCATTGTCGAAGTATCACGATTGGTTTTGCTGTTCTTCCTATTATTAGTGCCTAGAGACATTAGCTCTTGTTCTGTGAAACGATTTGAACATGTTGCACAGTTATCTACCAATATTTTGGAAGTTTCATCATGCTTTTGAGACGATATTTGCTGATCAGATGATTGTTTAGTTGTCTTTTTGTTTTTATGTGTATTTCCTATTTTATTGATCAGTTTTGTTGGCAAAGAAATCATTGAGCTAATTAAACTCTCGGTTGATGACTTGTTTGTTGAAGTTACTGTTTGAACTTCTGAATCATCAGAAGTCGTTTGCACTTCCATCCATCTGAAAGCAGTAATTTCATGTTGCTTTTCCCAGTTTGTATTCGCTTGCATCGTAGCTGTTGCATTGAGAATTCCATTTTTTGCATTAACTTCTGCTTGATGTGCACAAAATAAAGAAATGATACGTTCAATTAATTCTTGAATGCTTTTATCGATGAGTAATTGCTGAAGATTACACATAATAAAGTTATCAGTTGACACATCATCAAAACCTTCTAATACCCGTTTGAGTTTATCAATTGTATCGACGACATCTTCAAAATTCTGACGGAAATTACGTAGTTTTTTGTCCGAATGTATTGTTCGATCCCATCGAAAAATATTATTTTGTATTCGAAAAATCATTTTATCACTAACATTAAGTAAATCATGTAAGGTGCTGGAATCCATATTGCAACTGACGTCGTCACAATTTGTCAGTACTACACATACATTATCCATGAGATTGTTAGGACAAATTTCATGTAAAAGATAGAGAAAATGCTGGAATGAAGTGCCCAAACGTACCATGGCACCATTAGCAACAATAATGATACCATTTAGAAAAGGTACGGCACTCAAGGCTTTTTCAATCTCTTTCAAATTTGATTCATCATTGGAGATACCTTGTGTATCGTTAAAACCAGGTGTATCGATCAATTCGAATATGAGATCCTTGTTAAATTGAAGTGAATACATGTTACTTATCATCGTTTGACTTTTTGTTTGATCATTAATATCACGCTCAGATGACGGATTATTCGAAGATACTAAATCAGTCCAACCCTTGCATGGAATAGCCAGCTTTACAGCAGATTGATTTTCTGATGTGAATACTTCGTCAGCAGTTCGTGTCCCATAACAGTAGTTGAACATTGTGTTGATAAAAGTTGATTTACCAGCACCTGCATCGCCAAGTAAAACGAAACGTTTTACTTGTGTCATAATACAAGAAATATTGAAGAATGAATGATACGATCATCTTCTCATTTTTATATACCTTTTTTTTCTTCGATCCAGGGTATTCTCCCACACTATGCTATTTGTTTGAAGTTGGAATTTTCTTTAAATTCTATGTGAAATATTTCTTTTTGTTGTAATGAAAGAAGAACGTCATTAATTATTCATAGTTAACGGGAAAAATCATTTATTATGATCGATCTCTTCTTCGCTTCCACATAAGTATTTCTTATCATTATAAAGAAAGAATGTATTGTAGTGCATTCATATAAAAAGGAAAAAACCATCTGATACCATAAATTGTTTGTCTGACTCTATGTAAAGTATTTCATTCTGAATATAATGAAAGAAAAAAATTCTAATATGTTGGATATTTCCCAAACTTTAGATCTGATTTAAATATGCGCATTCAACGCCATTACTTTACTTTCTTTATTCTCATACATTTTCTATTTAATATATCATGGCTGTTAATTATGATGTTGTGCTCGTCTTTATTGGTGAATCTGGTTCCGGCAAATCAACGTGCATTAATTACTTTGCTAACTTCTTTGCCGGTACGGGTTTCTCTCAATCTACAGGATACTCTAATGTACAAGTCGTTATTCCAAATCGACTTTTTTCCTGTGCTATATCGGGATATACAAGTAGTGAACGTAATGTAAATGACAAAACGAAAAGTCAAACAATGCAATGCAACGATTATGACTTCGTTTGGGCGTTAGATGGTCAGAATATGCGAATCAAAATCGTCGATACACCTGGATTCAACGATACAGATTCGCACCGGGATGATAACAACATTCAACAAATTCTCAACAAAATTAGCAGTCTTCCATTTATTACTGCAATTTTTATCACCATCAACGGCACTTATTCTCGTCTTTCGACATCCGTTAAGACTACATTGGATCAACTACGCAGTTCTTTACCGGACAGCGTTTTTGATAATCTCTTCTTTATTCTAACCAATTGCACGGAAAATGAACGCAATTTTGATATGCGATTGATCAACGATTATACACCAGATCAACAACGCATTTTTCACATGCAAAATTCGTTATTTAGCGTCGAAAGTCGTGATTTTGTTGAGAAAAATCCTAAAAATGCTCGACGTACTGAAATGAATTGGCAAGACTCGATAGACACAATTACAGACGTGATGGCAAAAATCAAACAAACTTCAGCTGCCTCGACAAAGGTATTTGATGTGATGCGTATCAAGCGAGAGCAGCTTATCGCTCACAAAGAGATTCTTATTGCCAAGCAAAAGTCATTGTTAGAAATTTCAAATGCACTGAAAATTGAACGCGATCGATTGGTCAATGCACAAAATAATCAAAAAGACAACCAAAATTTCGTCACTAACAAAACAATTGAACGGATCGAAATTGTGAAAAAAGAATATTATAGCACCATTTGTACAGAACACGGGAAAGTTAGAGTGTGCCATGAAAATTGCAATCTTGATTATCATCCGCAACTCAATCTTGCTCATTTCCAACGTTGTGCTGCCGCAGATCGATCTGGTAACAATTGTCGACATTGTAAATGTGGAATGAACCAGCATCTACATACGTACGAAATTCCAGTAACAAACACGGTCGAAATTGAAGAAATCATTCAATCGAAAAAAGCCGCTTTCGATCAAGCTTCGCAGCAAGTACAAAGTATTGGGGATCAGGTGCGTCAATTAGATGTTGCTTCCAATCGAATGAAAATAGAGACCGAAGAATGCAAACAAGGAATTTTAAATTCAATTGGTGAACTGAAAAAAATTTGCTCGCGTTTCAACTTTGCTGAAATGATGAGTACCACCATTAAAAAACTGCGACAAGAAGCGAAGGTAGCTTCAGATTTACAAGCGAAACAAGAATTCAACAAAACGGCAGATGCTATCCAACAAATCATCCAACATTCGAACTAATATGTAACCTTTTTTTTCATTTAATCTAGAAATTTGTTCATAATAAACGAGATCATATTATTCATATTAAACAATTGAGACTTTTTAAAAACATATAAGTCAGTATTTACATTACTTCTTACTATTCGAACAAGCAAACATACATCGAATATCACGGGATTTAATAATCTGTTTGTGTCTTTTGAATCTTTTGAGTTATCATGAATTGTACCAATAATATGAAATTTTGACATATGTATCTTGCCCTAGATCTACGCACGGCTCTGTTTTGAAGTTCTTGTTTGAGAATATGAAGATGCGACTAAAAAATAGTCACATATCGATGACTGATACTTGATTCAAATATATGTTTCTTTATAGAATCAAGTGCATTTCTGTAAGACAATACATTCTACTAATGTAAGATTACACATCTCTCTTGCGTTTTGTCACCCAACTAGACGAATTAACCTATAAAGTATTTTAATTTTTCGACTTTATATTCAACAAAAAATTCTTTTCTATTTTTCAAACTAAAAATTTCATTTACTAAATTATTTCAAACTTTACAATTCGATAGTTAAGTAAATCAACAACATAAAGATTTCCTTCATCCTCAAAAGATAAATCATGGCAACCATGCAATTGATGTCTTTGATTTCCACCAACAATAACTTCACCTTCTTCTTTCCCTTCACACCAACGCATTATTCGACTATTCCCAGAATCAGCCACATAGATTTGACCCAAACGATCAACAATTATTCCTTGAGGATAATTCAATTGATTCATTCGATTTCCTTTACCGTTTCCACCTGCAATGATTTGTACTTCCGTTGTATTATATTTCCATTCAACAACACGATGATTTGCACAATCAACAATGAAAATATTTTTCTTTTTATCAATGAAGATTCCCGCAGGGCAATTGAACTGATTTAATTTTTGTCCTGCTAAATTTCCACCAGCCACAGTGATGGCATCTTGTTTCCATTTGTTAAATTTTGGTTCTAGAAAAGGATGAAAACAAAAGCCTTTTATGAAAAAAAGAAGAAAAATTAATTTTTTACTTTAATATTACTTTATATCCTGTCACTCTTTTCTTTTACATACAAGTAAATTTAATTAATAAGTAAATCAATAATATTCTCAATGTATTTTTTATTTTCTTCATCATTGTTTTTATAGTTTTTCAATACAATAATATAGAAAATGAGAATGTTTTTTCAAGAAATTATTTATTAAAAACTTACTTTTTTCTGAAATAATTGCAATTTCGTTAATAAATGATTTTGAATCTTCTTGAATATAAATATTTAATGAATTATTTAATGCTTGTGTAATTTTTATTAATCGATTTCTTAAATAAATTAAATTAATTTCATTAAAGTCATTTTCACTATGAAATTGTTTTATTTGTTCATTTAAATTATTAAATTTCTTTTTAATATCATTAATATATGGTTGTGATGATTTAATAACAATTTCTCTACAATCTTTTGCTTTTTCTTGGATTATTTCAATTGAATTTCTTTCCCATTGGTCAATTTGTTCTATTAATGAATAATTATATGAATATTGTTTTTGTTCATCAATTCTTTGTTTAAATTGGTTATAATCATTAATAATATGATGTTATTCTTCATTTAATATTTGTTGATGTTCTGGTATATGTATTGAACAAAATCTTTTTGAACATCCTTCACAAGTATATGTATTGTTTTCTCTGCTGCATGTAAAACATCGTTTTCTATTGTTTGCCATTGCCATGCCTTTGAATAGAAGTATATATCTTTATCTACTTTTCTAGATGTAAACTTAATAAGTCAATGACGATAAAAACAGTCTTCAGTTGTAAAAGATGATGTGTTTTAATTTCAAATAAAAATTTTAACAATTCTAGTAATGTTAATTCAGTAAAATCAAGATAGTTATTGTGTGATATTCTTTTTTGTTCATTTTTTTCATATCATTACAAAAAAACTAACTTACCTAATTGAAATTATTTCGATACGAATAAGAATTCTGTTTATACCACTTGCACGCGAACAAATAAAATATTCGTTCGCTACATCAGCTACGTATTTAACTATACGGTATTTTTCTCTTTTCTTTCATATATGATCGTTTCGTATTTTTTCTTTTCACTATTATAATTCGTTTTTCTTTTGTTCTGTTAATTTCTATCGAGATGTGTTATTTCCACGCAATGAATAAAGAATTATCACACATAACTATTTTCCCAGAGTCTATTGTATTTCGGAGATGTAAATAATAAAAAAAAGTAGTCATTTCTCATCGAATAAATACTCGTACTTTCTCCTTAGATTAATAAATGATTACTACGTTTTCATACAACATCTTTTTCTTGAATTTTCGATAAAGCTATAACTCAGAAAGATCTATGACAAAGCATTTCAAGTGAAAAAGAGAAGAATAATAATAAAAAGAAAGATTTTGTTTCTGATCAAATGAATTTTTAATGCTTGATAATGAGATAACATTGAAGAATGAAAAGTAAACAAAATAGACAGTAATATTTGAGGATGGGTGTGGGTTTTCCATATTCAGTCACCACTCAAAGATCAGAGTTTATTTTATCTAATAAAAATAAACAATTCTACCTAATATGAGCTAATTTCGATAATATTGCTAATGGGTCAATATGTGTTAAAACTTGTAATAAGTTATTATCTAGTAAGTAAGACGAAGAAAACTGATTTTTACTTTCTTACGTTCTATAGTTAAATAGCCTATTATTCTCTTTTATGTTACTATATATTAGTCAAATATGTACATACAGCTTTTATTTTATTTTATTGTATTCATACTACTCCATATTTAACAAGTCAAATTTATTGAAAAATGGCTGCAGCAAATATCGAAAACGACAAGTGCTTTTTATGTCAAATACGGGATTTAATCGATGACACAGCGCTTTTTTGTGATGAATGTGCCAAAACAACGGTTAATCAAAATGTACCAACAATTAATATGACAGCTACTGGTAATAATTAGTAATTCATTATTCAAAATGAATAGTTCAATAAATTCGTTTCGTTCCTAGCGCCATGATTCCTGAAGAAGTATTTTGTGAGTTTTCGGTAAAAACCGTCAGGAAACTCGACATTTCTGGTCGGCACCAGGCGTTTCCGTGCCGGATTGTTTGGCATGGATTTAGATGCTTTGTTGAAACTTCTCGAAAAAGATGCTGGATCACAACAGTGCAAAGATTGTGACAAAACAATAGGAACTGATGAATATAGCTCAGAAAATAATAATGGAAAAGTAATTATTTTGTTTTTCATAATATTAAATATATTCTTTGTTTTAGTTTTACTGTCTCGATTGTGGGATTAATGTTATGAACTTCAATAACATTATAGTAAAACCTAATAATATTATTGAAGCAAAAAGAAGAAGCATTAAAAAAGTGCAAATCAATATCAAAAAAAATTGTTCAGCAATGATGTAATTATAACTAAATAGCGATTATTACTCATCGATTCTTTTTCAGTTTTAGTTTTGATCGTTAAACATCAACAATAATTTGAACCATACACATGAACATCTTGAGGGTGCGGGTGTAGGTATTACATAAACCTAATTCTAACACCCACACCCGCCCACCACCCACAACTATACCCACATCCACACCTTCACGAAATATCATATAGAACATTAGCGCTATTACTAAATGGATATTCTTTAAAATTCATCAATGAAAAATATTGTCGCGCCTTTAACGAAATCATTCATTAAATCAATGATAGGCTTCCGTAATTGTAATTCTCTGCAATGAGGATTGGTTAAGAAAAAACCTGCTAAGAGTTTTTTTTTAACTATATCAGCATTAATAGCATCTTCTACAGTTACAACCGAGGAGTCATTATCAAATGATCCAACAGATGATTTGTTATCGGACATCATAATATCTAATCGGTCAGCAAATGATATGATATCAGATGTTGCAAAATTGAATCATACAGGATAAATCTGCCAGGTCAATTCAATGAATTGGAATGGTGCGGCATGAATCAACCAAATTAGTTTTATTAATTTTATGAATTCAAGTTTCTTCAAACGTTGCTAATAACGTGAACATTATGCGAAGTCATCGATACATTTTAGAAGAATAAAAATCTTCCATATAAGTTAAACAGTTAAAAAAACTTTTTGGTAAAAAACTTTTTGTTATGTATTGTCAAAAACACTTACCTTCTGTGTATTATTTATTGTTGATTTCGAGAAAGTTTTTTTATTATCCTGAAGAATTTTATTATTAAATAAACTGAAACTGGGCGATAAAACAAAATTTAATATTTTATTTAGATATAAACTGAAATCAACAAAAAAAATGTATTGTTTTATTTTTCTTTAAATAAGAAAATAAATATATATATATAAAGGACATAATCAGACTTAATATATTATTATACATATACTTGCTTTTGTTCTTCCCTAATAGTGAAAATTCGCTCAACAACGAAGTGACAACAAATAAAAAAGTAAACATTATTTATCGTTTCTTTTTTAGTTTTAGTTTGGTCGTTAACAATTGACAATAATTTGAACCATACACATAAGCATCTTGAGAGTGTGGGTATAGGTATTACATAAACCTAACTCTAACACCCACACCCTCTTTTATGATACTATGTATTAGTCATATATGTACATACAGATTTCATTTTGTTTAAAATATACGTTATACTTATCTAAAAATGAGCGCTACTACTTGTGGACAATAAGAAATGTGTTTTTTGGGTGATAAAAATTATGTCGCTGATGATACGTCACTTTTCTGTGACATCTGTATTAATACTACAGTCAACGAAAATATTTTTTGAAAAAAATGGGCATCCTGAACGCTATACTCATTGTGAAAAATTAATAAGGGTGAATCGATATACATTAAAAAACAATAAAGTAAGAGTATTTATTTCGTTTTTTATAATAGTAAATATACTATTTGTTTTAGTGTTACTGTCTCGATTGTGAGATTAATGTTATGCATTTTTACTAACGTTATTATAAAATATAATAACGTCATTGAAACAAAAAGACGAAGTATTAAAAAAATTTTGTCCAATAATTAAGCAATTATAACTAAATAGTAATTATTATTTATCGTTTCTTTTTTAGTTTTAGCTATGGTCGTTAACAGTTAACAAAAATTTTAATCATACACATGAACATCTTGAGGATGTAGGTGTAGGTATTATATTAACCTAACTCTAACACCCATTCCCACTCCCTCAATTATTATTTTCGTTGATTTGAAAATGAATGCTTCGTCTACTCGTCGCTCAGCTTTGCAAGCATGTCCAGCTTCGTCTGAACCTTCAACGCTCATTATGACTCGACGAAAGCCACGTCAAACTCTAAATACACCACTTCAAAATGCTTCGACTAGTTTATCAAAATCTTATCTTAACACTTTACGACAATGAGTGTGCGTGTAGTAATTAGGTGTATACCGTGTCTACACCCAAGTCGTGATTATAGAATGCATATATATATATACATTGATTGATTTTGATTTCTTGTCATCGTTTAAAGTTATTTTTTTCAAAATGTATGTTATTTGTGAAAATAGTCTTTACAACAAATGCTTATGCAAAAATAAATACCATTTACCATTAACATTACCAATATATAATGATCATTGCCATGTTGACCTTTTTTTCGTTATGAGTACAATAAAAATGATTTGAGCACTCAGTTTGCTAATGGAAGAAAAATGATATTTATTGGCAATAAGCATCAATATTATCGTTCGTTTATCACTTATCAATCGGACAATTCAAATGTTCAAGTATGCACTATATGTAGTATTCATCCAAAGTATTTACCTTCGAATATAGTACATTTATTTAAAGAATTAGAAGATATTTTAACGAATAAATCTAAGAATATTATTACAGAAAACGTTGCGATTGGCGAGTGCGGACTCGATTCAACAAGTACTTATTCATTTAGTTTACAATTAACGCTACTTAACATGCAGTTAAAACTAGTAGTACAACTTAATTTACCTGTAGTGCTGCATTATTGTGGCACAGAGCCATTTCATTTGATGTTTAATGAATTAAAATCACATTTATATTCAAGTCAAAAAACTCACTGGCATCGTACTAATGCAAAAAGTGATCTTAAGGGGATTACATCGTTTTTTACTTAGTTTAAAAACTCTTATATTGGTTTAAAATGTTCCATTTTTTCTTATCATGATATTGAACCTCAAAATTTATTTAATAAATGGCTTTTATGATTAGAAGATATTATTCACAGAATTATTCTTCGAAAAGATTTTCTTTTCATAAAACCAACTATATTACAATCTGAACAATACAACCCAATTAGCGCTATAACATATCATCTTGAGGGTGTGGGTGTGTGTGCTAGATGAATACAGTATCCACACTCACACCCACATCGACGCCATTCCTGGTCGGAACTCGCTGGAAAAAGTTAGCGATCCCATACAAGGATCTGATAACCGGTTGTGGCTGCTGGTTCTAACAAGTTCCTGTTAGTTGCGGGTGGAATTCGACAAATCCAGGTAACAGATCTGGTCACCGGAATACTATGGAACCAGCGGCTTCCGTGCCGGATTGTTTGACATGGATTTAGATGCTTTACTGGTATTTCTTGAAAAAAATGGACATCCTGAACACTGTAATCATTGTGAAAAATTAACAAGGGTAAATCAATATACATTAAAAAACAATAATGTAATAGTATTTATTTCGTTTTTTATAATAGCAAATATACTATTTGTTTTAGTTTTACTGTCTGGATTGTGGAGTTAACGGCAAGCGCTTTAATCACATTATCGTAAAACCGGATAATGTCACTGATGCTAAACGAAGAAGTATTAAAAAAGTACAAAATACTATCAAAAAAATTTGCTCAACAGTCACGTAATTATAACTAAATATCAATTATTACTTATCGGTTCTTTTTCAGTTTCAGTTTTTATCATTAACAAGCAACAACAATCTTTTAATCGAACATTTCTTTAACTATTGTTAAGTCTTACTTTATTATAATAAAAAGCATTTATTTATTTTAACTATATACATGAAAGATACTTAATGTTCATTATCAGGAAATTTCCACAAATTTTTAGTAATGTCTCAATATCAAATGATAATGGATATGAGTTTTTCAAATACTCACGATAGTATACTTGTAGGTAAGGATGAGTTACTATTAGTTTCTCTTGTACTATGATATATATATATATATAAACGAGAATAATTATTTTTCAGTTAATATTCAAATACTTATCAACAAACATTTGGTTCGCTTTATAATTTATCTTTATCATAAACCCATAGACGAGAATCATTAGAAAATGATATTGGATGTTTTGTAACCCATTGCTCTTGACTTGTATCACGTCGACCTTTTGTTATCAATGATGTTACAGTTGATGGATGTTCCAAATCAAATTCAAGCCATTGATCATGTCCTAAATAATACATGTATTGTTTATATAAAATAAATATATAAAATATTTTTTTCGATTAACTATATTTTCGCTTTGAACATCATCCTTTATTATTCATTAAATAACCATCTTCTGGTTGACATATAGCACGTCGACGAGATGGTCATGTTGTTGATGCACTTATTTTTCCATAAAGTGATAAACCCAAATATTGTTTACATTCTATATTATTTATATATAATCATAAACAAGAAAACTAAAAGAACTATTTTTCTCTTAACCTTGACAATCAATAATTTCCACACGTAATGAAGGTGTGGGCGGTGTGTGTGAGTACTCTATTTCATCCACCCACACTCATATCCACACTACACTCTTCTTTTCTTTTCTTTTCTCCTATGATATTCAACAAAAATTAACAAATGATGAAGAATTGAACATTTATTCATTCGAATTTCCTAATCAAAATTATCAAATTAAATTCAATTTTTAAGAGAAACAACTAGAAAGATCTTTCTTCATTCTTGTGCGAAAATATGTCTTTTTCTTCAAATTTTAATCGTATTTTTAATTGATTTTCAACAATAAAACTTTATTTTTCTTTTGATTCTCAATTATTTATTTAATACATTTTATTTTACAATCAAAATTTTATTTACAAAATTATTTCAAATTTTTGAATTCGATGATTCAAATAATCAGCAACATAAAGATTTCCTTCATCATCAAAAGATAAACCACTGGGGCCATACAGTTGATTTGATTGATTTTCATAACCATTTCCACCAACAACAATTTCACCTTCAACTTTTCCTCCACACCAACGAATTACTCGATGATTCCAAAAATCTGCCACATAAATTTGACCCATATCATTAACAGTTACTCCTGCAGGTGACGATAATTGATTGAAATTTCCTCCTTCACCATTTCCTCCAGCCACAACTATTCCTTCTTTTGCATCTTTCCTCCATTTCATCACACGATGATTGTTTTGATCTGATACATAAACAGATTGATCTTCATCAACAAAGATAAAACCTGGGGAATTAAGTTGATTGAGTTGATTTCCTCTTTCATTTCCACCTGCAACTACAATTCCTTGGTTGTTGTATTCACCCATTTTCCATCGTCTGACTTTATTCTTCATCCAATCTGAAACATAAAGAAATCCATATTTATCTATTGCCAAGCCATGACAATGAATATTGTCAATGAGAATTTGTTGATTTTGATTCACCCATTGAATCACTCGTCTGTTCCCTTTATCAGCAATGATGATCGAATGATTTTGTTGATCTACAATCACATCTGTTGGTCGATTCAATTGATTCATTCGATTTCCTTCTTTATTTTCACCGGCAATGATTTGTCCTTCTTTTGCATTACATTTCCATTCAACAATATGATGATTATCATGATCAGCAATAAAAATATTTTTGTTATCATCAATAAAGATTCCACGAGGGCTATTGAGTTGACTTAATTCTTGTGCTTTTCCATTTCCACCAGCCACAGTGATGGCATTTTGTTTCCATTTATCCCATTTTGGTTCTAGAAAAGAATAATAACAAACAGTTTCGATGAAAAGAAGAAGAAGAAGAAGAAAAGATTAATTTTGAATGAAACGTTAACATGAAATATCTAAAGAGATGAAATTCTACCAATGTGTTTTTTTTAACTACTTTCTTTACATTCACTTTTCGTTGTATTATAGCTTTTCAATATATATTCATAGACAATTAGAATTTTTCTTTTAAAAATTATTTATTAAAAGCTTACTTTTTTCTAATGCAATAATTGAAATTTCATTAATAAACGGTTGACAATCTTGTATAATAGAAGTCTTTGGTGGATTATTTAATTCTTCTCTCATTTTTATTAATTGATTTCTTAAATAATTTAAATTAATCTCATTAAATTCATTTTCTCTCTGAAGTTGTTTTATTTGTTCACTTAAATCATTAAATCTTTTTTCAGTATCATTCAAAAATGTTTGTGAAGATTTAACGATGATTTCTATGCAGTCTTTTGCTTTTTGTCGAATTTTGTCAATTGAATTTCTTCTCCATTGATTAACTTGATCTATTAAAGAAAGATCATGTGAGCTCGGTTTTTGTTCATTAAATCTTTGTTTAAATTGATTATAATCATTAATAATATGATGTAATTCTTCATTTAGTATTTGACGATGTTTTGTTAAATCCATTAAACAAAAGTTTTTCGAACATCCTTCACAAGGATATGTTATCTTATCTTTATTACATGTAAAACAATGCGTTTTATTGTTTGTCATTACTATGTCTTTGAACATAAATTTCTAGATGCAAATTAAAGAATTCAATGATACGAAAAATAGTGTTCAGTAGTAAAAGATGATGTGCCTTTAATTTCAAATAAAAACTTAAACAATTCTAGTGATGTTTTTTCAATGAAAGAATGTTGTAATGTAGATTTGGATATCGATGAAGATTAAATATAGATCGTTGCCCTCGAACAGATGATATACTAATCTCTTATGCACCGAACTGTATCGTCATGTTCATTTTAATTCAATCTTACACTGTTATCATCATCACTCTCATTCTCAAGATAGTTGTTATACAATATTTTTTTTTATTCATTGTTATATTATTTCAAAAGATTCACTTACCAAAACGAAACTATTTAAATAAGATTTTCGTCTATACCACTTGTAAGTGAACAAATAAATTATTCTTTGGTTATATTAACCACATGTATAGTCACATGGTATTTTCTTCCATATATAGCCATATAGTATTTTTTCCTTTTCGTTATTATAATTCGTTTTTCTTCTGTTCTGTTAACTTATATTGAAATGTGTTATCTTCAAGTTATGACATAGGTATTTTCTTAGAGTATATCGTATTTCGCAGATGACAATAATAGTTACAGGCCTCGCAGCGTGTTTACTCTCCTGATTTTGTCCTGATATTTTATGAACTATTCTCATAAGAGTGAGTTTATCTAATTTTCATCTTATCTATTATTTTATTCCGTCTATTTCCAATTATTACAGAATATTTTTACATATTTTCATCAAAACAAAAGATAAGGTTCAAAATACATTTATTTCAATCATTCATCTCTTCTGTTTTTTCTTAATCGGTTCAAATTTTCATTATTTTCAATTAATTTAGTTTTCAAAGTAGCTAATTTACTATTAGCAGCTGTCACTAGTACTTCGGCTGTACCGATATCATCAAATCTTTTATTCTGCATAGCTGCAGCAAGTCTTGTGTTCCTTCGTCTAACATATTAGTCATCTTGTTTAATTCTTCTTGTAATTTTTCTTGTTCGTTCGACAATTGTGTTTCTGTTTCTTCACATCACTCCATCCTCCATTAGCACAGCTGAGATCATCTGTGTTACATGCAGTACACCGGAATGAATTTGATATTTTACCTTTGATAAGCCAACGAGAACATACTTTACCAGTATTATCAAATTTAAGTAACCATTTCGAACAAAAATCTGTTAGTCTAGGCATTTGAGAATGCTTAGTTGATGAGTTACATTTACAAAACAATTATTTACAAAGAGATAATTTTACATTTGAAGATAGAATATAAACTAAACTAAATAACAAGTAAGAAAATGTTTTTCTTTGCTTCTTATATAGTCTAGTCTGTATTCTTTTCTAATTCTTTAAGAAATAAGAGAGAATAGAACAGTAAAAAAAAATAACACTTAAAAGTGCATATTTGAAGACAAGATCATATTGTTGCGCATTTTACTATATCTGAAGCAGTTTTCACGTTTATTAAAGCAATTTATGCTGAAATATTAATTTTCAATCGTTATTCTTTTTTATATTTACGTAAATTCTATACTAAATAGAGGTATGTCAATACATTTTGCAATGTCCTGACTTTTATTTAAATTCCTGATTCTTTTTCCATTTGTGTCCTGCCTATTTTCCTGATTTTTCAATAAAGGCCGCTGCGAGCCCTGTTATATTATTAGTGAATATTATATTTAGTCTTATAGAAAATATCATTAGCATTATGTAACTATTTGAAAATGAATAATAATCTTAAAATAAAATTCTATCTCTTAGAAATATTCCCTCGACTGAAAGGAGGGTGATACGAAAAAAACTAAAATGCGTTTGTCTGTGCCAGGGTCAAAAGAACATCGAAAATTAATTTTTCAGAAAAGACATTTCTAGAGGTTTCTTGATGCGGAGAGTTCGAATCTGGCGACTATTGGGTGATCGTCTGGACGGGTGGGTGGGTGGGTGTGTGTGAAAGGTCAAAAGAACATCGAAAATTAATTTCTCGGAAAAGACATTTCCAGAGGTATTTCGACGCTTGAAGATCAACTTTTTACCGTTTTCATTTGTTGTTCTTGTAATTGTAAATGTGAGGAAAATGCATTTCTATGAGAATGAGCTAAGCGAGTCGCCGGACAAGCGCTACTTGTAAGGTCAATTGCTTTGGACAAGCATCTAGGGATGGGGACATGGTTGGTGAGAACGTGGGTGGGGAGCTGGGTGAACGTGAGAACCAACGCGAATCGAGTTTTTGGAAAAGTGAGTGTGGGTGTGTGTGTAAAAATGTGGGTGAGAGCGTAGAACGGTGAAATACTCACACCCGCACCCAAATCTCTAACTCTACCACCAGATCCACATATACACCCGCTTGACACCCACACTCATCTACACGGTCTCTAACGCCTGCTTTCTCAGAACACTTGATGAAGAGAACGAACTTGATACGAGAAGACAGTAAATGTAATATCAGTCGCCAAATGTAATCTGCATCACTGAGCAGTTGGGAGTGGCGGACTGAAGGGACGCCGACGATCGACTACGAGGTGAATAGACACTCCTTGAGAAAAGTATTGTGAGTTCATGAAAGAACATGTTATATCTCTCCTTGAAATATATGGTGAAAGAGTTAAGCATGAAGTCTAAAAGCGTCAACTGATAGTTATTAGGTGAAGATCAGTCGTCATTAAGCGAATGTCCTCAACGAACATTACCCGTCGATATTATGAGTTTGGTTACAGATATTGGTTGAAGAGTGAGATTTAGTTTAAAATCATACTACGAAATACACAACGTTTTTGTGCACTTTTATAATTCAAGAGTAATATTTGCGTCCAAATTAGATATAAATTGGTGTATCGATGCTCTCAGTTTAGTATTAACAGAAAAAAGGTTTACCCGATACAGTCGAGGGTCAAGTGAGTCGCTCCGACGAGCGTTACTTGTATATATATATGAACTTTATTGTAGAACTGAATTCATCATTTTGACTTCTCATACTTCTTTAATTCCCTCGACTGAAAGGAGGGTGATACGAAAAAAACTAAAATGCATTTGTCTGTGTGTGCCAGGGCCAAAAGAACATCGAAAATTAATTTCTTGAAAAAGTCATTTTCCGAGGTTTTTCGATACGGGGAGTTCGAATCTGAGGACTATGGGGTCATCATGGTAGTGGGGTGGGCGAGGCTGGGTGAGAGGTCAAAAGAACATCGAAAATTTATTTCTTGAAAAAGTCATTTTCCGAGGTTTTTCGATGCCGGGGGTTCGAATCTGACGACAATTGGGTGACCATGGTAGCGGGGTGGGTGAGAGGTCAAAAGAACATCGAAAATTAATTTTTCCAGAAAGACATTTCTAGAGGTTTTTTGATGCGGAGAGTTCAAATCTGAGGTATGTTGGGTGGCCATGGGAGCGGAAAGAAAAAAATTTAGATATGTGAAGGCAATTTCGATTATTAGTAGGGAATATATTGTATAGTATGATACATATACGAGCATAGGTAAAGGTTATAAAATCAAAAGAAAATCTAGAAATTTTAAGAAAGTTTCAGATATTATTAGAGAAGATACTGTATATCATCATACATGTGTAATGATAGATGACGGTTCGAAATAACAAAGAAATTTAGAGATTTTAATGAAATTTCAGGTATTAGCTGAGAAGATAATGTATAATGTCATATATCTATAGATAGGCTAAGGTTAAGAAAAATATAGAAATTTCGATGAAATTGCAGATATTATTCGAAAACGTATTGAACGCTACCATAGACCGATGACGCTAGATCAGATGTCGAAAGTTAAAAAGAAGTTTAAAACTTTCAGCCAAATTTTACAAATTAATGCGGAAGATAATCTACAACGTCATACATATACTAAGGTAGAGGGGACCAAAAATAAAAAAAAGATATTAAAATTGTAATAAAATTTCACATATTATTCAAGAACGTA